ACTTACCTTCTATGCTAGATGGCTTAATAAATTGTTTTTTTTTTTTGTTAACAATAAGTTTAGTTTTATTTTTTGAACCACATTTTTTTTCTAGTATATAATTGTCTGACAGTGAAACACTACTTTGATTTTCTAAAGTAAGAGTACCGCTAACTTTGTTAACTGTTTGCTAAATGGAGGGTACCGTTGCCTTTGTTAAATGTTTGATAAACTGAAGGTCTTTAGTTCAAAATTTAAAACTGCTGCTACCAGAGTTCTTTTAGAAGCGAGTAGTTATAGCTCTTTTAAACAAGATTTTTAAAGAAGTACCTAGTGACCAGTGATTTTTTCAGTTTATTAAATACTCGCAAGATAGGGAGGCGTTACAGTGCGCGCCATATGGTTGAAAAAAAATTTTTTTATTTATTCCCATTCGAAATCTTGCTGAGAATTAGTATTTGAAATTTTATTTTATTTTGCTGATAATTTTTGCAGAGTTCTTTATCTTTTATAAGTAAAAATTTTACATTCAGTTTTCCTCAATCGTTAGTCTGCTTTTTTTTTTGTTACTACACTGCTTACTAGATATTTATGATAATTTGGTGAAATACTTAGGGTGCATTAAGATACCAAGTTTAGGACAGGAGAATAAGTTCGACGTTGAGAAAATCTAAAATGCTATTAACTGAAATTTTTAATACCCATTATTTTTGGCTTTGATTAGAGTATCCTTTTCTTTTTTTCCCATTACAGTGAACAAAGTGTTGTTGTTTTTGCGGTAGCCGATTTGCTTTTTCACAGGGAAAACTAGGGTGGGAGTGACGTCATTATAACGTTTTGAAGTGCAGCAGTGCCTTAGTACACCAACTAAAAATAAAAAACTAGTTCTTCCTGTTGTATTTATTTAAAAGCCTAGCGTTATAAAATTTTTCGTTATAAATCTTTGTCTTTTGGGGAGTGGGTCATTGCAGGAGACTTTTGTGTTTGGCATGTGGAGTAGTGAGATTTTGCTTATATTCGGAACTGGCTTCATGACGGTTTTAAAAAAAATATTTCTGTATATTAAACTGTATATCTTTTTATCATTTTGTTTGAAGGAATATTGGTTTTTTGCTGATGTTTAGGTATTCTTGATTTTTTCAGTAGTGCGTTTAAGGATATATGGTAGCAGAAGAAGACTGCCTTTTACGAACATATTGGGTGGTTTAAATGCTGAACTGCTCTAATTATAGGGTGTCATAAGAGGCTTCAGAATACTTGAAAAAATTTTTGCAGTAGTTTTGACTACAATGAAATATTTATCTTGCATTGGATAAAGTAGCGTAATTTTTATATGCCATTGTGAATACCTTTACGCGTCGTACGAAAATAGCTGCAGCCTTTTTAGAAAAAAAAAAGTCTTTTTCTACTCCGTTAGTGGAGGTGATTTTCCCTTTATGGAGATATCCCATAAAACTAGGCGATGCTGCTAATAATTTGAAAACGGTGTTTATTTCATTGAGGAATAGATCTATTTTGAAAACATGAAAGAGGGAAGGAAGGTTTTAGCTCTTTCCGTGTTAAATGATATAAGACATTCAAGTTTTTTTAGTTTGAAGTATTCAAGTATTAGCGTGTTTCACGAAATTTCAGTCAAGATACTTTGTCTATTCTTTAAATGAAGGTTCTTCAGGAATCTCCAGCATTTAACTGTATTTCTAACTTATGAATTTTTTTCGAATTTTCAGCGCTGTTATTTATATATTTTGGGGAACATCATCAGAGACGCAGTTTTTAACTTTTTTTGGATTATTTTCCAGCGGTAGTGCGAAAATGCTGGAGGAGTGCACTAGGAAAGTGGGTAGCATTGAAATCAACTGGGCTTTTTAATCTTCTGCCTTGGAATTGTTGTTTTTTTCACTTTTGAAATAAGTTCGTATCTTTTAAGAAAATTTGGTCAGTGAAATTTTCGCATTTGATTTCACACACGTTTTCTGTAATATCTATAGTGTCGGAAGTGGAGAAGCTTTGGTTTATTGTTAACTTTCGGTTCTGTTTTATTGGGCTGTTGAAAAGTAATTAGGGCTAAAATTTGAAGATTTTTCTGATTCTATCCGGAGTTGACTATCTCAGTTGAAACAGTAATTAGTAGAGTTTTCACATCATATTTAAAGTGCCATTCTTTAAAGACTACTGCGAGAAATCCTTTGGCCACGTAATGAAGAAATCTACTGAGAACGGCTCTGCCATCTTTTTTTGAAGAGCTATTTACTTTTAGAATCTAGGCTCGAGTTATTTAATAAATGTAGTCAGTGGAAGACAAAATTAGAAAATAGTTAGTGCAGAAAGTAATTTTTTACCTCAGTTCTCGAAGGGCTTGCTAGACCTTTTTGCGGTACATATAGGTACTGTTTTTTGTCCTATTAGTCGATCAGTCATTGGTCATTCTCGTTATTTTCTCGGCTAAATTGGATTTGGTACTCTGTTGTCTCTTTTTGATGTGTTTGATGGAATTCAGGAGCGAAAGATGGGTTAAATCTAGCAGCTTCTATGAAATAGCCACTATTGGGTTTTTATAGATAAGGGAAGATGCAAGCTTAGGAAAGGATCAGCTGCATTTTGATAGCGGTCAAATCGTCTGGACTCAGAACGAATTGTTTTTTTATCATTTGTTTCGGTCTACTCCAAAAAATTTACTTTTTCAGTTTGGAGAAGAACTATTAGTGTAATAACGATTCTCAGTAAGTCATAATTTCTTTGGTTATCTTGCCTTTTAGCTTCCTTTATTGTTTAAGGCGCTTTACCATGACATTCTTTGAAATATTAGTTTTCTGCTTTTAAAATTCATTTACATGTTGAAATATTTTATTGGCTTGCAGTTTCCTTCATGATCTTGTGCTACTAGATTTTTCGTTATCTATCAGTGCTTTTGGATGCTGACTTGATTTTTTATTGGGGCATTTTTTCGGCTCAGGAATTTCTGCTTTATTCAACAAATGGTGAATTTGTCGACGAATTTCGTAGCAACTGTTCTACTACTTTCGATTTTAGACTTAGAAGTATTTGTTATTTCTCTCGCTTAAGCCAGAAGATACACGGGACTTTATTTCAGCGTCTTTCAAAAGAGTGGGCTAAGCATGGAGCAGTTATGGTACTTTCGAGTGTAATGAAGAAAAAATCTTTTTTGATGTGTGATTTGTCATACAATTATCAGCTGGTGCTTGCTTTGGAAATTAAACTGTAGAATGAATTAGCTGGAAATCGTGCATTTGTTTTTGGAGGATTAGTAGATTTGTTATTTCTTTATTTGCTTTTAGCGTATCGCTGGTCAACGCTTCTAAAACGTGTGCTAATTGATCTTTAGGTAAGATTTAGTGGTTTTCGTGAGTTAAAAGTTCAACTTTTTCTGCATTTTTTATTCCCAACCTTAGGGTATTTGAGTCATTTTAAAGCCAACAGTTTACTTCCTTTTTTTGTTTTTTTTTTTCTTTTAAAAATAGAAGGCATAGAAGAGAAAACTACTTTTCACCTAAGAAGGCTGGTTTTTTGGTCACCTTTTACCTCGCTTTTTCTTCTGCCCACATTTCTATTTTTTTAAATTTTAAGCTTATTAATTTAGTTGGGGTCTTTTGTGTGGAAAAGGTCTTAAGGTTTTTAGGTTATTTCAAAAAGCTAGTTTCGTGGGACGGAGTGTTATTGTTTAAATTACTTCGTGTTTATTGCCGATGGTATAAATTCATATTGTTCAAGTAAGTGGACTGAATATTAAATCTTACTTCTTTCAGCTAAAATAGATCCCTGGAACGGTTAGAGCATCAGATTATCAAAATGCCTGATCAGGCACAAAATGTCGCTGCTAATACTCAGTCACAAAACGCGTCTGCTACATCGCACGAACCGAGCATAAGGTTTTTCCTATAGAAATTTTGCTTTACGTTTCAGTTTTGTTTACATTTCTGTCTTATGCTAGACTGGGAGAGGAACAACTTACAGTTATGACGACACTTTAAGATTTCTGTACTGTGGTCTTTAAAAGGTTCAGAAGGTTTATAACAGTATGATGTGTTGCTTAAAAAGTGTAGCAGGTACTCATGACACTGAGTAGTTTTCAGTTTCGTTTGAAGTGAAACTGGTTTAATACCAAAGATATACAGTGGCTATTAATCTTAATAATTGGGTCGAGACGTACCAGGAGGTTGGAAATGATGCAATTAGCAGCAGTAAAAATGTTTTGTTGTTGCAAACGCTATTTTAGTTAATTGACTGGTTTATAAAGTATCTGTGGCTTGTTGGTTCGACATTAGTCAGTGGAAATCTAAAAGTTTAGTTCTTAAAATGTGAAATAACTTAGAAGCTAAGTTTGGAGGAGTTGAAATTTTATTGAAGGTAGCAGCAAATAGCTGATGAATAAGCCTGATCAGTTTAAACATTTGAAGAGTCAAGAAGTAAAGTATGCTTAGATTATTTCTGAATTAGAAATTTGTTTTTTATATGTCTGTTTTCTTCTGCTTCTAGTGTATCAAGCCAAGTTGTTTTCAAACTGTTAGTGAAAGTGGTAATTTGCAACGGCTGTTGGCCTAAAGACTATGAGGAAGTGACTAAAAAATCATAAAGCCTACAAATGTTTTAAATCATGAAAAGTTCTGTCAGGTGTCACAGAATGTTGAAATAGGACTACCGGAATCAATACATTTTTTTTTCCAACATTGAAATTTAGCAGCCTCATTGAGGTAGTAACACGATCTTGTTATAAGTGTTGGAGTTTTGTCAGGAGGTTAGAAGCGTAGTAGTGAGTCGAATGCTGAAAGTAAAACAACTAGGAGTGACGTTCAGTTGCGTTGATATTTGGAGCAGTAAATTCATAACTTTCATATTTTTTCTTCTAATGACTTTTGCTTTTTTATACATTTATTGATCCTAAGTGGACGTATAAAAAAGTAAATTGTTAAACTTAACAAATTTGGTTTTTGCAATGGGTGATGTTAATTATGGCTTACGAACGTATCTGGTCTTTTTTTTTGATAAGAGGGTTTATTTCAAGGCTTAACTAGAGTAATAAGATGTCATAATAAATAGATCAAAGCCGCAACTTTTTCCTTTCGTTAATATTTTCAATTTTTTTATCTTTGTAAAAGTTTCAGAGGTTTCGACCTAATTGAGATGCTCTATAGAGAAGCCGAAAATTTAAAGAAGAAGTTAGAATTGGAGAGGCAAAGGTTGAATGATATTACAAGTAATTCCCTTCTTTATTGCTCCCTTGTTCAGTATTCCCTGTGACCATTTCTGCAAGGCCTTTTTTTTTTTCGAGACAGTCTGGTTTTTTCCTGCCAGTTAGAAGGCCATTTGTAACGTGGTTTTTCTTTTAAGTTTCAGTCTGGAAATTTATCTCTGAAAACTTTACAAATTTTAGTGGAGCAAGGCTCCTCTCATTTGGAGCATTTCTCCCCTATGAATATCAAGCAGAGGCGTATTTTAAAAGGTCATTCTGGCAAGGTTCTGTGTATGGATTGGTCTCTTGATCGCAGGCGAATTGTTTCTTCTGCTCAGGTCAAGCGTTATGAAATTGTCGGAGAACAGATATTTTCTTGATTATTATTTTTATCTTTTTTTTTTGCATTTTTTTTGGCTTTATTAGTGTCGTAATCATAAAAGTCGTTTGACTGATGGATTTTCAGGATGGCAAGGTCATAGTTTGGGATGCGTTTACTACTAATAAAGAGCATGCAGTAACTTTAGCTACCACTTGGGTAATGGCTTGTGCTTTCGCACCTGGCGCTGATATGATAGCTTGCGGGTGCGTTCTTTACGCCCTTATCTGGTGCTTTGATCATTTTGCCGCAAAATAAGAAATTTTACTTTATTTTTGACTTTTTAGTGGGCTTGACAACAAATGTTCGGTTGTACCTTTGTCATTTGACGAAGACATCTTGCAAAAACGACGACCTGTGGCTACGCATACCAGTTATACATCTTGTTGTGCATTTATGAGATCAGACAATCATGTTGGTCTTATTAAAACTTAGATGTGTTAAAACATGAATTTGAAAATTTATGCATTTTCAATCAATGGTATCTTTAGCTGCTCACTGGAAGTGGAGACTCAACTTGTGCCTTATGGGATACTGAAACTGGCCAAATGCTTGAGAATTTTCACGGGCATAAAGGGGATGTTTTTTCAGTTGATGTTCATCGTTGGGATGCAGGCAATATTTTTGTTTCTGCTGTGAGTTTCTTCAGTTTTAAAGTGAGGATAATTGTTGAAACGTTGTGTTTAATTTGGCAATGCTTGCTGCTCTTTTTTGATATTTTTTGTTC